TAAATGTATGGGGTCTTAGCGGACTACCCAGTCACTGGGCTGTTGGTGACGGGGTTAACTGTGCCCCAGAAAGTATACAGTTTCATTCATTTCAAATAGACTTTAGTGTTTCCCCGAAAGTAAGACCTAGCGCTATCTTCAGGGATTTCTGTAATATAAGACCTACCCCGAAAATAAGACCTAGTTCGGTGGTAGGTCTTATATTACAGAGATCCGCTAGGTCTTACTTTCGGGGTAGCTGCACATATAATAGAATTTTACATGTCACATGTCCCTCCCTTGCCCGCCTATTGCCATAGTTGTTGACACAGAACAGGTGTACAGGAAGTTCAGTCAGACTAATGTCAATCTTCTTACTTGCTATAGAAGCCAGTCTTTGATGGCGGTACTCCAGCATCACTCCAGTTAAAATTAGGACTTTATTCGTTATTAAAAGTGAGCCGGCATTAGCAAAAGGCACTCAACACTCCCCGCGCTTAGTTGAAGCTATAGACCCTGAGTCATCAGGTTGCAATATCACAAAAAGAAATGCTTACTACTGCTTACTAAAATACTATATGACAACATTGGTTGAGAGGTCATTTTTGCATACCATAAAGTGTATGTAAACCCCCAAAAAATACAACTGGGTACAGACCCTCATCCTGGCCCATGCAGCATCAACCTTTTTTGAGGTACTGCATACACATAGTTACGTAAAAAAGTCATTCATTGCTGGGATTGGGGTCTCGATGGTCTGGAGGGTGGTGTTTGTGGCTGTAGCTATAGGAACTACAGAGGATGCTAATGACCCGGGGCCCACTAGGACACTGTAAAGCAGCTTCTCTTAAACCTGATCAGGTTGGTGGCTAAGCAGTGAGAACTGGGTCCTGGTCTCAGGGGTCCAGCCCCGGTTGGATGCTCAGAGCTCTTAGCAACTTGTGATGCTCCGGCCGGAGTCCAGACATCACTGTTTGCCAGGGGCTGAGCAGGATGCTCTGGCTGGTGTTTTGCTGAGCTCCTGGCAACCAGTGTCATCAATAAGCTGGCCGGGACAACGGAGGAGCCAGAACCCGGTTGATCAAAGAGCTATCAATCAGAAATAAAGTTTTCTAACTGACCCTAATCTCTTGTAGTTTGCCATCTCTTCCTACCCTTTCCCTACAGCAGTGGACAGTATGGCTGACCTGTGCCCCCTTTTATAAGTGGGGGGGGGGGGGCTGGCTTCCCCAAAAA